AGTCTGGATCCAGAACACCTGAGAAGAGATGATGCCAATCCCTCAGAGGACCTCAGATGATGCCAATCATGAAACAACATACAGAACTACCACATTTTGCTATAAGTTTGACTGCATCATATAATAATTGCTGTTAATAGTATTCGTCTTTTTTATTACGTCTTTAATTGATTTTTCCGTACATTTCTGCCATATGTACATTAACTGACAGTCACCACTGATAAGTTACTACTAAATATTGTAGAAACTAAATTTTCTGTAAAGTTGATTTGCAACGATTTGTAGCATTAAAAGCGCTATACAAATAAACCTGAATTGAATTGAATTGAATCATCAAGACTCTGGTTCCTGGTGTTCTTGTCTGGTCTTCCCCACCATCATCCTGCCTGGTGCTGCCTCTTTCTCCGCAGGCCCCAAGCTTGTTGTCACTCAGGATGGGTCTCAGTAGTCACCCTCCTTGCCTGTCATTGTGTCATCTGCCCTGCCCTACAGTTTGCACTGTTTCACGCCTCACTCTCCTTGTTGTGCCCTGTCTCCAGTCTTAAATAAAACACCATCATTGCTCATTCTGCATCTCTTGCAGATTTGTGACAAGGGACCTATAGCAGAATGAGCATCAGGGTAATTCCTCCTGCTACCCAACACCCCCGTTAAAGAAGGGCTCTCCAGCGGGGGCTGGGATCACTTTGCCAGCACGGAAAGGATGTTTGAGCCTTTGCCCAGTTCTTCTGGACAATGGCCAGGGGCATTGAGTATCACAACACGGCCCTTAAGGACATCGTCAACCTCTGTCTGGATGACCCTCTACTCCAGTGGGAGATGGAACTGCTGAGGAGTTTGGATTTCTGGGGCTTCTCCAGATACCTACATTTTTGTAAAGAGAGAAGGCTAAAAACATCACCAGAATCTGCCTGCAGGGTCCATCCCACCATCCCTCCCTTGTCAAGTCAAGTTCAGGACCCTCCATGTCCTCAGAGCCTATTCCTGTTATAGTTACGAAGGCCACCCCTGAGATTCTAGTCAGTCACGTAGGCCCACGGGAGCCAATCTTTTCAGTCATGTTGTGTCCTTGGAGACTGTTCCAGTCATAGAGGCCTGTCCAGAGCATCCTAATCCACCTGCTACAGTCATGGAGGCCATATCTGAGCTGCTAACCAGTCATATCCATGTCATGCCCACAGAAGTGGATTCTGTCAGTCAAGTCATGCTGCCAGAGACTCTTTCTGGTCCGGCCATGGAGGCCTGTCCAGAACATCCTAATCCACCTGCTAGGCCACGGAGGCCAGATCTGAGCAGCTAACCAGTCTTGTCTTGCCCACAAAAGTTGACCCTGTCGATCATATCATGTTCTCAGAGACTGTTCCTGTTGTCAGTCATGTTGTTTCTTCAGAGACCAGTCGTCCACACTGGGCAAAGGAGTCGAAGGGGGTAGGCTGACAGAGAATATGTCCATTGACAGTCTTGTCTTGTCACTGTTTAATGTTTCTGTTTGTCTTGTGTTTAACCAAATGGCTTTGTCTTTGTGTTGACCATGTGCTCCTCTAGTACCACCTCGTTTCCTGTCACCACACCTATAATTATGGGGACTGATGATACTTTCTCCTAAACATAACCCTCAAAGTGTTTTTACATTTTTGAAAACAATGTTTAGCATGCCTATTTAGCTATTTGAATTATTAGAAAGCTGGATGTCCTCTTAATGTAGGTCAAACCAGTACACACACACACACACACACACTTGTTTGTTTCGCTATCTTAGTGAGGACATTGCATAGACTTCCATTGGTTCTCTATCAGGTTCATGATATTTTCTATAACCTAACCCAACCCATACCCCTAAACTTACCCACAGAAACATGTGCAGAACACTAGATTTAAATAAAAAACGTTTTGGCTGATTGTTAAGCCTTTTTAACTAGTGAAGACCAGTAACATGTCCTCACTAGTGGGTTGG